ATGAAAATGCAAGAGAGTGGGTATCACTTGTTTACGCCAACCACTCACACCAGGGGAAGCTTTTCTGTTTAAAGCAACAATTTATTCTAAATAGCACCTTGCCAGACTTCCAGTCAAGGGATACGATTTAGTGTCAGCCACCTTTGTGGATGCTGGCACCTGCCCATCAGAATAATGAGAAATCCCGCGGCGGCCTTTGTTTTCTTGGCTATGAGACATAAACTTTGAACCACTTCATTCTTTTCTGATGCTACCTGTGTTTCTCATGCACTTGAAAAGTTAGGATTTTTCTTAACAGTTTGTTCCGCGAAAGTCCTAGGTGGCCCTCAGTGACCTAATTTTGAATCTGACATCTAAAAAGGTTTGCCCTAGCTCAACACACACAGTACAGTGCTACATTATAGCAAGGGATATGTGGCAAATCATGGGTCCCTGTGCTCAAGAACCCATGTAACTGCATGCACCACAATAGAAGCCACAGCCTGTGGCCTCACTTCTGTCCTCTGCTCCTAAAATAACCTCACCTATACCAAGAGTTCTGACACATACAGACATCAAAATAGTAGTTACATGACTCACACTCAGAGCTGCATGCATGTTACAGTCATGATTTCCACAAAGGCATTTTGCAACCCTTCATAGTCACAGCATTTGTCACTATCAACAGCCTACTGCTTATTAAAGCATTGGGAACCCATCCTACAGGTATGAGGCTGCTCACAGATTGAAAGCCAGATATAGCTACTACTATATGCAGCATGAGGGTCTTAAGTGGTAATTTAACTTGAATTGAAAAGGAGTTAAACCATAGGCTACATATTCAATGGTGTCAAACTGACTCTCTGAGAAATTAAGGAGCATCAAGACTGTATTTGTATTCCATGACAATTGCAAATCAGATGTGTCTTCTCTTCCCTAAGTAAAACTATGACATTTTCTACATCCTTCCTTCCTGAAGTGACCTACTTCCATCATTGGTAGTAGTAAGACAGAGTCTGAATTATTTGGAACTGATGTTTATACTTTGACTAAAAGTTTTAATTTAAACAACTAAGAATAAAATACTTTGGCTTTTTATCCCATACATTTTATCTCAGTGTGAAAATGATAACTGATTATGAAACTATTTTATAAAGGTTCCTAAGTTCACACTGATATTTTCCAGTTGCTCTCTCAACATTATCAGTACTAATGTATCATACACAGAGGTCTTATGCCAAATACTTGCAAGGATGTGCCTCAATCTCCTCTAATCTTCAAATCTCAGTTTAAAAAAAGTGAGTTAAAAATTGAAACTGAAGAGGTCTGGATTCAAGTCTTTACTTCCAGCTACACTTCCAGCTATAGGGGAAGAGCTAATTTCTAGTGAAATTTCTAGGGTTTTGTGAACTCCTCAAAGCCCTTCTCTTGTGGCAGAAAGCAGACTAACTTTCAGAATGCACAGATTTTCTCACAGCATGAGGTCTTCCAGAATTTAGCTGTTATGGATACCAAACACCAAATACTTTTCCACCAGCAGTGGAAAAAGGCCAGTGCCTTTGACACAGTGATATCCGCATGACTGACCCTTTGAGTCATTTTTGCAATAGAGTGAAAATCTTGACTCTACAACTCCAAGACCAGCCCCTCCTTCACAGCTACAGAAAGCCAGCAGGAACACTTACCCATCACGGTACTCTCCCATGTATCACACCATTCCAAATGATATACTGTATTTGAAAGAACCAGACCACTACCTCTAAAATTTGCTGGAAAAGGTTAGGCCAGAAGTAAGGCAGTTAAGCTGAATGCTCATGCATGAACTCAGGGGATGGATTTTGAGAGGTATGGGAAATAAGAAGCCCCAGACCCTATGCTGGTGTCATCTGAGCTATCAGCTCCCTGACAGCAGAGAAGCGATGTGGACGTAGAGCCTCCATCCTCACTGGACAGTCAGATCCATCCCAGCACATAGTGTACCAGTCACTACACTTAGAAGAAAAAAATCACTGAAGCTAAAAGGTAAGCAAAACGACCTTTTGGGGTCTTTAATTTTGTGACTGGTTGTACAGTTAGAGATGTTATTTCTCTACAAAGAACAAAATTGTTATCGTTTTTCTCCTCTAATCCACACTTCTCAAGAAACTCTGTTAATCCCAATTGTTCACTGGGGAACAATTTGTACTTTATCTCCCTGCAGTTCAAATCGTTTATGCCTGGCCATTTAAGGGAGCTGAAAGAAGCTTTTTAAAAGACCTGAAATTGTTTATGCAAAGAAGGCTAAAGGCATCAAGGTAGTTGACACTACTTCTTCCACATGTTCATAAAGGCAGAGATATGGTGAAAACAACTGTAGGAGGTGTGAACCCCATTACTTCTGCAGTACTTACCAGTGGTTCCCACCATCCTTTAACGCAATTAGGAGAGAAACCCCTTCTCTCCTTTGCCTTGCTATATAAATAAAAGGATCAAGGTCCTTTGAATAGTGCAGTCTGAGGGGAAAACTCTTCCCAGTGAGAAACAAACACTTCTCCTCTTCACTGTTGGTCCAAACAAGATATTTAATTTTGTATTAAAATAGGAGAAAATAATTCAGCTTATCTGTATATGAAAACTAAGTCAGTGTCACATATAGATGATTAGAAAGGTAATTTTAGGAGGCTTCTGGTAAACTCAGATTTAGTCTTATTGGCAATATCCTGACTTTGCTCTTCTCTGTTGCATCAGGACAAAATAACACTTTAAGCATCCAGTACAATTTTAAGTGCAGATAATAAAATTTTATGCAAAATATTTTGGCCTATTATCCCATGCATATACAAGGTTTTAAAACAATAAATCATTCTGAAGTACCTCTACAAGGGTCACGAATTTCCATTAGTGATGTCTACTGTGTAGAAATTCCGTTAATTACTGTCTCATTCCAAAGGTCACAGAAGATCAGGTATGTTCAGAGAGATGCATCTACCAGATCAGCAGACTCGAAGACTGAAACATGAACGTTCTCTCTGGACCCTTCCTATATAATGAAAGAGTGCCACATAATTCTTACTATTTTCATTCAGTATTCTTAAGGATACTAAAAATGCACAAATAGGTTTCACTTCTTCATAAATTAATTCACCAGACAAATAGCGAGAGTTTAAAGTAAGCACAAACTCTCAGGATGTTTTGATCCAACAGGTCCAGTTCTTGCCTCTGATCAACAGGCTATTGCCCATGATTTTTAATGGAAGTTGCTTTAACACAGAGTAAGCATGAAAAGCTTAATAATACACAGGCGGGAGGAGGGTATCCAATGTTTTTCTTTTACCCTTAACTACAGAAAGCTAAAGAGAGACATATTACTCATATTAACTAAGAGGCATCAATTCTTAGTGGCAAAGTTATCCAAAAAGACTCCAGACCAAAAGCCACACATGAAATCAGTCTCAGCTCAGCAGCGAGACATTGCTCCATTTGCAGTTACCACATGAGTTTAGTCAAGTGCATTTACTAGTTTCAGCCTTGCTGGATCTATATTGCTGTGGCCAGCCTCCATCTCTCTGATTCCCTTTACTGACTACATAACAAACCACAATGCTTGAGGTAGAGTCTGCTTCAAGTCAAACACTGTTCAATCTCCTCTCTGGACTCAAGTTCATCTACTACCAGCCTACTTAGAGACCCCAAACCAAAAGCAGCAGAAAACATCCTATGGCATCATTTAACTTGTCACAGCTCCCCACTCTTCTGCTTTCAGACTGAGGCCACTTGGATACTTGGCTACAGCCACAGCCAGACACACTTCCCAAACTCTCCCATTTTTCCTGTGATGCAGCAGGTGCAGAGGCCTCTCTGCTTGGCTACTCTTGTGCACTCCTTACTACCTTTGAATTTTTCCTAGCTCTTAATTTTTCTGCCTTGCTTTCTAATGCATTTCATTAATGCTTTGCAAGCTGCTATGTGAAAAGCTGCCCAGTTCAACATCTCCTCCACTGAATTAGCTCTGGAATGCACTCTATCTTATCATTTATTTTGGCAACAATAACTCCAACATGTTTTTATGTGCATTTCGGTAAGTCTCTTCTTTCTGTTTTGCTTGGGGGGTTTTTGACTCTGGATAGCTGCTGAATATATAGTCACATTGTATTAAATTAAGGTACGCTTGTACCTCAGTTGTCATTCATGAGCTAACAGACTCAGAAGTTGAGTGCTGAACTTTCCATTAAAACCAAAGGGCAATTCTTCATTTTTCCTGAAATTTAACGTTTTGTCTCACAAATGGGGTAACCTAAGAGCATGTGGTGGGCTGAAACTTACTCAACCCAATTTTTCTAAATTCATAGAACCATAGAATGGTTTGGGTTGGAAGGGACATCTTTAAAGATGATCCAGCTCCAACCGCCTGCCACTGGCAGCAACACCTTCCACTAGGCCAGGTTGCTCCAAGCCCCATCCAACCTGGCCTTGAACGCTGAGAGGGATGGGGCAGCCACAGCTTCTCTGGGCAGCCTGTGCCAGTGCCTCACCACCCTCATAATGAAGAATTTCTTCCTTATTATGTAATATAAACCTACCCCCTTTCAGTTTAAATCCATTCCCCCTTGTCCTGTCACTACATGCCCTTGTGAAAAGTCCCTTTCCAGGTTTCTTGTAGACCCCTTTAGGCACTGGGAGCTGCCCTAAGGTCTGCCTGGAGCCTTCTCTTCTCCAGGCCAAACAATTGCGCGCTTACAACACACAGATTCGCAACCCATCCACCTCCCGTGTGCTCGCACACCCGCCTGTTGCAGCACTAAACCACCTCCCCGGGACGGCGGCGGGACCGTGGGTACAGGACCCCTGGAGGACCCCCCACACACGCCCCCCTTCACCGGACAGGCAGCGACGGTAGGCTGCCGCTCCTGGGGCGGGGCGGGGCGGGGCGAGGCGGCAGCAGGTGCGGGTGGAGGCGGGGGCAGGTCTATGGGCGGCCGTTGCGGGGCGGGGAGAGCGCCGGGCCGGGCAGCCGCGGGGCGGGGAGAGCGCCGGGCCGGGCAGCCGCGGGGCGGGGAGAGCCCGGGACGAACCTGGGCAGAGACGGATTTAAGGAGTGGTTCCAGGCGGATTGCTCATTGCCGCTGCCGTCCCTGCTGCTGCACGCAGCCACCATGCCTGTCAAAGGAGGCACCAAGTGCATCAAGTACCTGCTCTTCGGCTTCAACTTCATCTTCTGGGTGAGGGACCTGCTCCCGGACTGGGTCGCGGCGGGGCCGAGACGTGCTCGGTGGGGCTGTCCGGGAGGGAGCTGGAGGGGAGCGGGGCGGGGGAGGGACGAAGCGCCGGGAGCGGTGGTTTGGTTGGAGCTTTTCGTTGTTTGGCTTCACCTGTTCCCTTACTTTTCCTGGTTCCCGGGAGGAGAGGGGTGGGTGCACAGTCCTTCTACCCCACCTCTCTCCCTCCTGTTACGGGGGTTTCCCCGGTGTGGCCGCGATACCCTAGTGGGGCGGTGGCACCAGCGGCGGCTCGGTGTATCTCTCCCCTGGCCGGCCCCGCCGGTGCGGGCGGGTTTTGATGCTGTCCGATTACGTGCTGTGTTTGTGTATGTGGTGGTAGGACCGCGATTAGGTAAGGCAGGTGTGTGTCCTGGCTCTTAACGTGTGCGGGGGGGGTAGCGCTTCCCACTCCAACAGTACACGCGGCGCTCCCCCTGAAACTCTTGGAGGGTTGTACTTGTTTCTCCCTGGTCTTTTCCGCCTCGACGGCTGTAAACGCCTTCGAGAAGCCGGTTCCTCGCAAGTTAACAGCGCTTGCGGTCGTTAGTGGGAGCCTCGGCTGGAGCTGTGGCTTCTGCCTCCTATCTTCCCGGCAGCGTCTTGTAAAGAAAATCCTGTAGTAGTTTAATCTGTAGGAGCACACTACCCCTGTGAGTAGGAATCACATCGCTGGGGCAGTTTGCCGCAAGACTATCTTTCTCTGTCAGAAAGCATAGCTTAACTGAGAGGTGCTTCTCAAGCACTTGGGGTGTAGATGTCTGAATTTGGCATCTTCTGCCTTATGGAAAAGTACCCAAGGATGTGCCTATTACAGCAGGCGTGAAGTGCGAGGATCGAAAAATGGATTTTCTCTTGGCTATCTGCTACAGCAAAGAAATGGCCTTGTGACTCCTTTTTACCATCTGATGTGGAGAAATTAAGTCAGAGCTGTGGAAAAAACTCACTTCTGGAGTTAGAATATTGCGTGTGGGATGGCCGGACAGTGCAATGCAAACAGATAAAATACTTGTGATCACTCAAAAATGGCTTTCAGCAAAGTAAGGAAATGAAATTGGGATGCAGTTGAGGGAGGTTGTGCAGAGGAACTTTACAAGGGTACAGGAAAGCATGCATTGATTGCCACCTGAGACTCACCAGGAGGGTGAGTGGGGGACGTATATTCAGAAGGTTATAACTAGTAAAAAGAAAAGCCTACCAGTGCCCTGGCTGAAACCTCTGAGTCAGCGGGGTGCTGAAAGTCTTGTTGAAACCATAGGAAATATGGCTTGCTTTCTGGTCTTTTATATTTCTTTTTAAAGCTGCAGACTTCCTACAAACTATGTTACAGCACAAGAGCTATTGCTGTGGCAAAGGCTTTGTCTCCAAGATGCTCTTAATGTGAGCATTGCCACTTTGTCTGGAGCCCGTGGCTGAGAACACGACACATTATGTAGCTGTGGAGGTACCTGTTGCCTGGGGGTGTCATGGTAATAAAGCTCGGAAGCTTTACTTGCACTTTGGGTGCCCAGTAAGTGTGGATGTAGGCTTGACCTGTCAAGAAGGTGGAAGGGAAGAAGAGTGGTGGGGAATGGGGCCATACCACATGTAAGCTGGTTCGGCTGCCCTGAGTAGAGCTGTTGCCCAGAGCAGCCATGAAAGTGATGCTTTTCAAGTAGCCCTCTCAGGGGGCTATATAAGATGTGGGAGAAGGAAGAGAAAGAGTAAGAAGATAAAGAATTAAAAGGAGATAGATGTTCCTTTCCTTATGAGTATCCCAACAAGTGGCAGGAAGTACCAAGAGGCAGTAGATGCAAGCAGCTCGGGTTAGCCAGAGATAAGTATTTGTAGACTGGCTGGATTAGTCCTTGGCTTTCATGGCTCACTACATGTATTTGTGCCCTAACAAAACTGCTGAAGGGAGTTTAGAGTATGGTGTTAGTGAACCTCATGTCCTCTAGAGGAATAAAGTAGCAATATCTTGGGCTATTTCAGAATGTTAGGCCTTGGTGAACAGTGTAAAAAGAAGTGTCTTGGGGCGGGCAGCACTAGAGGGCAGGAACAACCCTAATACAAAGACTTTAATGTTTCTTATATGGCACTGGAGATGTGAAAAGTCTACGAAGTAATGGAAATAGACTGAGCAAAAGTGGTGTGCCTGAGTGCAATTCTGACCCGAAAATTTAAAGCAGAATCAGTGACTGGCTCTTGGCCTTGGGAACCTACCCCCCAAAAAAAGCCTTTGCTTGCTTCTGAGTAGTCCTGGGTGTGAGGTCCTATTGTCCACACACTACTTGGTGATGGTAATGTAGTTTGATTTAATGCACTTTTTGGAGCAAGAGACTCTAAAAGATCCTGTGAAGCTTAAACGATACCTCCTTTTTAAAATAAGCTGTCCTAAAAGGACAGGTGAGGAATTTAAACAGTCTGCAGCAAACCTGCAGGTATCTGTAGACTGCATGCTTGTATTTGCCTCCATCAGTGACTTGGGCAAGGGTGAAAAGAAGCAGAAAGTGTGAAACAACTTGGTATAAAAACAAGAATTGGGAAACTCTGAGAAAGTTGAAGCTGTGTCCGAGAGAAAGGTTGATAAATACTGGTGTGTCAAATACAAAGATAAAGCTAGCCAAAGGAAAGCTTTAGGGGAATAACTTGCAGAAGCAAACCCAACTAAAATATCTCTCTTCAGACACATGAGGACCAGGGATCTTCCTGGAGAGATCCTTAGAGGCAGTGATCAGTCCAGATGTGTGTGGGGAAGTGATGTTCTGTAGGACTTCCCCTTGCTGGCGATGCTTGGGGAATACCTTGGGGAAGTTTTGTGCCATAACCTACCTTTGATTCTGAATCTCTCATAAGCTTGAATTGACCTCTTGATGAAAAGGTGGTGAGACAACAATAGCAAATGCTGATTAACATCTTTGCAGGGTCACACACAACAGTTGCTTCAGAACTATAAATGTGTTGTGATTAGGTAAAACCTATGCTCACCACCCACTTCGGTGCTGGAGGGCTGGAATGCAGTGAATTTGAGGCTGGGTTTTGTTTTATAATATTCTGGTGTATGTAGAGAGTGGCATACATGGTGCTTCTGGAAGAGGCAGAGGAGAAGATTCTTTAGAAGTAAAAAGTTGATGTACACATGGAGCTGTGATGTTGGAGAAGAGAGAATGGCTACTGTGCGGGGCAGCTGGACTTCATGAAGCTGTTAAAGTCTTTAAAAGCCTGAATCTTAGAGACAAGGGCTGGTTGATGTTAGTTCACTTGTTCATTGTCTCCTGGAAATCACAGAGCTCCTAAAGAAGACTCAGCAGTTCTGGAGTAAGTTCTTTGTGGGGATGAGATGAGGTGAAAATCTCTTGCAGTAGAAAGAAGTAACAGAGCTGGTATGGAGGAGTGAACTGAGTGGTGATTAGTGCAGTCCCACCTACTCTGGACAAGCATGTGAAGTAACACTTTGGTGCTTGTGCAGCATCCGTTCTAAGCTGTGCTGAAGATAGGTGCATGCTAATGTAGCAGGCTATGTGACATACGCCACAGGTAGGCATAGAGTAACGTGTGTTAGCATGAGTAGTAAGCAGCTTGGAGTTGTGAAATAGTTGGTTCAGGGGCAGCTTCTTCAACAGAGCAATGATGATTTGGGAGAAAAGGGTCTGTGATGAATTCCCAAAAGCACCAGCTGAGTGTTCAGTTGCAAGAGGAAAACTGCTTCACAAGTAAAAGACATAAGAGGGAAGGTGATGCCACTGCATAAATCCATGGTGTGCTGATGTCCTGCAGTGCTATGGGCTGCTCTGGCCTTCTGTCTACTTTGAAGGGAAAGTTGTAGAGCTTGGTGATTTGTGGAAAAGGAAGAGGAGGGGTTTTGCTATCGGGAACTGCGAGTGAATTGGGATTCTTCAGTGTGGAAATGAGGAAAATGTGCTAGAGGTCTGTAGGATCACAACTGGCCAGGTAGGACCTGACTGTATTGAAAAAGTTGGTAAGAACTGACAGGTGTTAAGTCTGTAAAGAGGAAGTTTCAGGAGAAAAGGGTATAGCTGTTGGAACAGTGGTTGTGCTTTATACCCAGCAGATGTGGAGCATGTGGTTCAAAGCATACCTGGCTAACATGTTGTGCAGCAGTCTTATGTTAATTTTTCTTCTTTAAAAGTATTGTCTGTTTCTGCACAACCTGTTTAGCATGTGAACAGGGAGGCTAGTCCTGGGAAATGCTACTGACTGCCTTTTGATAACCCTTCCTGAGGAGGCCCTTGTAGATTGCTGTGCTAGATTGTGATCATAACCGGCCTGATGACTTTCTCCAGTTGGCAAGGCCAGGCATTTATCTAGCTAGTATGGTGTCCTCTGAAACTTTTGGGATTCCAGAGCTTTGGTTAGGATGTGCTTGTGGCCTGACTGGAAGAGGGAGGGTGCTCATGGATGGCTACTACAAATGCTCATGAAGTCTGGCTAACTGTTGCATTTGTAAGGAACGGTTTTTATTAGTGTGCTTGAATACATCAGTAAGGAGATCCAGTCCCCTCTGAGGTGTGGGAAGGAGGGGTGGCAGCATTTTCCTGTTGGTTCAGCTATTACTGCAGACACCAGGCTCCTAGCTCCTGTTGTGCTGTTTTTGTCAGGGTGGTATAGTCTCATCTGGGTTTGCATGCAGTTCCTGTGTTCCTAGTGCTGGCCCTGGTGTCTTTGATTTGGTTTGGTCTGTAATGAAAGCTCTACCAGTTCAGGTCTTTGAAGGTTCTGGGGCTGATTTGGAGTGGGGAGGGAGGTGTTGAGGTTGGTACGGAACTAATACAAAGACTTATATGTTTTTTCTACCATGCTGTCTCAAACTTGGCCAAGAAGTCAATGGAAAAGTCATGTTATGTGCCTTAAACCCAAGCAGTGGAGTGATCTTAGCAAAGCTGGTCTTGAAGAACCTTAGTGTGTGTGCTTGATTACCTTGAGCAGTGTAATGAGTGATTACCTCTGGCCGAGCTCCCTTA